CTAATTTTTCAACTGGTTGGTGGTTTGGAACATTTTTTATTTTCCATAATATATGGGATAATCCTTCCCATTGTCTAATATTTTTCAAGATGGTAGCTATTGCATCACCAACCAGTCAACGATGATTCCAAAAGGACATTGTGGTGGGGTTGCTGGCCTGGTACATTGCTACGACCGATAGATGTAGCCTCTGGTTATTTAACATAGCGAACTGGAAGCCATGGCCCATAGAAATAGATGATTTCTGAGCTAGAAACATCCATTTATGAGGGATTTTCCATGGCTATGTTAAATAACCAGATGGTAGTAATTATTGAACTTGATATTGTAACATTATGGGGATTGATCTGCAAACACAATGGCACTACCAACAACTCTGGAAACTCTAAAGGGACTGAGAAACCAACAAGCATTGGGGTATGGTAATTGTAATCATCCAATCATTTTGATAGTCATGAGTCATAACTCAATAACTCCCATGGTTGATTCATATCCCAATGATCCTAATGGTCCTACTCTGGTTGGTGGTTTGGAACATTTTTTATTTTCCATATCTTGGGAATAATCATCCCAACTGACGAACTCATGCTTTTCAGAGGGGTATGTCAACCACCAACACCAGCCAGTACTGGTTGTGAAGAAGATATACAGTATCCCATGGCTTTATGATAATCATATGGTGGATCTTCATGCCTCCCATCTCTCCCAAAACGGCGGGAGCCGTTTCCCAGGCGGCGCGGCGTGCAGTGCTGCGGCAGAAGCGTCGGGCCAGGGAGCCCTGGAGATGCCTCGAGACGAGGGCTGGGATGGTCACTTTGTAGATGGATTTGGAGGTGCAACATGATACATGGATATATCATGGTGGTTTATTGGAACTTAACGGGATTATATGAGATATACATATATATATATATATAATATTGGATATACTGTATATATATATAGACATATATAACCACCAAAGTGATATGAAATTGGATAATTATTCCTGTTTAATATTAGGATATTAAGTGACATTAACTAAGAATCTGATATTGGAGACACCCTGGAAAAAATGGAGGATTCTAACGAATGGCAAGGTTCGTTTTTCTTAGCCGTTTGTTAGTTCACCCAGATGTATATTGTTGGAAACATATTGCTAATTACCCTCTGGTTATTTAACGTAGCGAACTGGGAAATCATTATTTTTAAGAGGTAAATCGGTAAATCATCATGTTTATCATCTATAAAAGGGTTTTTTGTCATGGCTATGTTAAATAACCAGAGGGTATTATTTAAGTTATGACACTTATGAACCATCCTAACTATGATGATACTGTTGGATTAATTGTTGTATTGTTGTATGTGTTTAGTTCTTAATTTTCCTAAACCATGAGTTCTAGATTGGCCCCCCAAGTTGTGTTTGTTGGTTTTAAATACCATGAGTACTATACTTATAAGATGTTATACGCATCATAACCATAGTGATTGTAGTTATTTGCACCAATCTAGCGATGTTGTTTTTAGGGTGGCCACATTGCAAGTTAAATTGTGATTGTTGGATTCTCCGGTGATATAGGGATTACTAAAAAATATGTCTGTCAATGTTCAACTATTGATATAGGCATTTCTCCTCTGTAAATAGTGACATGCATACTTTCATGATTAATACGTGGAGCGATGTATAGATTAATAGTTGCTTTGTGTTGGAAACATCGCCTACCTTAGTTTCCGAAAGTCCCAGCCATCAGTCAAATAGAAAGCAAAGATATATATATATATACATCACACATGACGTTTGTTATACTTGGATGTGCAGGTAGCAAGTAGCTACTAATCATATAGAATCTTATATCCCAGTTGCTATATGGAATATAGCCCGTTCTTTGTGGGTTAACCACTTGCTGGCTGGAACTTTGCACCCGAGTACAGATCTGAAGTCGCCATGTTTTGTTTCTTAGGCTCTGAGTCTCACGTTCCAAGACTCTACCTGCCCTACCGGCCATTCTCTTCATAGCGTTTCCACCGTCTCCGCGACACGATCTGATTGCCAGGCAGAAATGCTGGCGAAGCGAAAGGTGAAATGAGCAAAACAGTTACCGCCGGGATTTCGCAAGTTGGACTTGCAGCTGCAAAAGCATCAGACACATAGTGAATGAACCAAATTTATCAGAAAAAAACGGAAATATCAACGTTTAACTTAGATAACTCCCCCCTGGAGAATGCATGTTAATTTCATGCCACGAAGAAACAAATCCATGATCAGGGATTGTTTTCCAGGTAACCTTTTGGGTGATCCTGGTGCTCACTGTGCATCATGTTTTGATGTTTTGTTGGCGGCTTTTCCATCCTGGGGATACCCTCTCGTAAACGTTTACATAGCGAACTGGAAAATCATCATCTAGAATAGATAAGAGGTTTCTAGCCACTATGTTAATGGGTCATTTTAGTCATTTTCAATAGCGATGTGAGTCATTGCCAGAGGTTATCTTGTTTTTGCATCAGTTTCAGGTATAAAAATTATCGGTCCAAGAGAGGTCCAGGGTATGTCAGGACATGCCGGGATACCCATGAACAATGCATCGTTTATCCCATTTTTTTGAGGTATCCGAGAATATGTGATATATGAACATATCAGACAAAGCCAAATGGAGGTGTCCTAAAATGAAGGTACCCCGAAAAATCATCCATGTTCCATTTTAGATGTTTTTTTTCCATGAAATAAACCATGATTTGATTATGTTTGATCTCAAAAGGTTGATTTGTTCTTGAAACGTCCACATTGGATGATTGGACACCAAGAAATGATATCGGCCTTCAATGTGCGTCCCAGCTATAGGTAAGTCAGTTTACACAAGCATATTTGCATATTTATCTGGAATCGAAATAGATCTGCCATAGTTTACTTAGTCATAAACATACTTACCAATCATAAATCACCTTAGTTATATAATCATTATAATCAATATTTTGAATGAACAAAACAAAAACTTAATTTATATATGTTGCTGGTGAAGCCCCATCAAATGAGGGCACCACATGTGACCTCGTGTTTTTTTGGATCAAGGTCGAAGGACATTTCGCCTCAAAACTGAGGCTTCGAACATGTTGGGTAAACGCCATACCTGTTGGATATAAAATAAAAGGAATACAAATGGCAATTCTTCCAAGCCAAGATAATGCCAAGATTCACCTTGAACATATGTATATATATATATACAGATTATATATATATATACATATTATATATTTACATAATTATACATATATTATTTACCCATATATATATATAATGTGTGTCGTGTTTGTATATATATATATAGATTCTTCATGACAAGGAAAGCAACGATCAAGTTTACACGGGAAACGGCTTTTGGGGAAACCAGTAAAGGAAATCAACTCCTTAGTTCGGTGAAGAGACTGTTTGGAAATCCCCGTGGCCAACGTAATCGAGTGCCCTTGCCCTTGCAAGGTAAAGTGTTTATCACATTCCCAAACTTACCCTCTGGTAAATTAACTTGTTGACCCTGACAACCACCAATTTTTTTGTGGAGAATTATTTTCTTTCCCTGAAAACTGCCAGGGTCTATCTTAAATTAACCTCTGGTAAACTAACGTAACTATGGAAAGATCCACCATTTGTAATGGGAAAATCCACTATTTCTATGGCCATTTTCAGAAGCAAACTGTTAGTTTACCAGAGAGTACTGGCTAACGTGACAGCCAAAACTAGTTGACCATCCCCAAGGTTTTCCGCTGCCATGGCGCCGTTCGTTTCCTTGCCTCCGACATCTCTGGCTCCATCCTTGCCATCTCTGGCGTTGGTGAAGCGGCAGCATTTGGATAGGGGGAGATTTATCGAAAAGGTGCCCCGAAACTTGAGTAAATAATGTTGATGAAATGTAACACATACTGTAGTTGATTTATATCTGGTTAGTGGTTTGGAACATGGCTTTTATTTTTCCATATATTGGGAATAATCATCCGACTGACTGACTTTCATATTTTTCAGCCTAGAGGTCCATTTCTGCGGGTTTTCATGATGATTGTAGAAATGAGGGGTGATCTAGCTGAAATGGGCATTTCGGCGTGATATCCCCCAGTTTGCTGGGCTATTACTAACATAAAATCACATATGCCCCAAAAAGATGTTTTGTTGTACGCGTCGCTGTTGCATCGGGAGTTGTGTTTGGTAACTGTCATTTGTACCCAAACAAGTTTTCACAATCAGACCCATGTGTTTTCAGTGGCTGCAAGTATCACATGGAATGTTTTCATGACACTTGTTTTTCACGTCGCTCACATGTCATATTTTCTTGTTCAATACGGATTGTTCTTACATGGACATGATTGGCTTTAAAAAGTTGGTTCTACCAGCTTTGCCGGGCTTAGATGTCCGGAAAGCGGACGTCGAGCTTTTCAAGGATTGCATGGTCATTTTTTTATTTTGTTTTTTTGGAGAGAGGAAATCGCCTGGTCCACGATTGATATCTGGGTTGATGTCAGGCACCCAGATTGGTGTGAGCACTTCTGCTTATATGTTTTTTTTTCTGGCCATCTTTTTGAAACAATTTGGTACTTAAGGCGCAGTTCACACTTTCAGCCTTCAGATAGATGGAGGCCACTACTCGATGATGCTTTTGCCAAAGTAGCGGCCAATTCGGTGTCACATGGAGTGACTAGCGGCCAGCAGGGTCGAAAAAGTCCATCACCTCAAATCTGTGCATCACCATGTGTTAGCGCAGTTATGTGCAATTCATGCCCGGCAACTCACTCTCGAAAAATGACCCGGGACGAACCCGGGATTTCTGCGGGACCACCCCGGGAACCGGCGGGACCCCCCGGGACCGCCATTGACTTTTTTTTGGTAGGGTCCAAAAATTGCAGTTTCACTTTTTTGGGTTCAAAGTTTCTTTGGGTGCTAGAACTGCTGTCTGTGGCCTCGAAACCGCCTGATCGGTGGCGGATGAGAAGATGGATGAAGCCAAGGCCTTGCTTTTCAATGTGGTGCAGCAGCTGTATGTGAGCAGAACAGCCACCGCGGCCCCGCAGAAATCCCGTGTTGGCCCCGGGTCATTTCTCCAAAGGGAGTTGCCGGGCATGAACTGCACTAACACATGGTGATTGCACAGATTTGAGGTGATGGACTTTTTCGACCCTGCTGGCCGCTAGTCGCTGCATCACACCGAATTGGCCGCTACTTTGGCAAAAGCATCATCGAGTTGTGGCCTCCATCTATTTGAAGGCTGAAAGTGTGAACTGCGCCTTAAGTACCAAATTGTTTCAAAAAGATGACATATAAGCAGAAGTGCTCACACCAGTCTGGGTGCCTGACATCAACCCAGATATCAACCGTGGACCAGGCGATTTCCTCTCTCCAAAAAAATACCAGAAAAAAAGCAAAATAAAATGACCACGCAATCCTTGAAAAGCTCAACGTCCGTTTTCCCGACATTTAAGCCTGGCAACGCTGGTATATGATTGCTCATGATGTCGGTATGTGTCATCTTGGCTCAAGCAGCCAAAACGATGAAAATATGGAAAGTTAAATTGTCCGACTGGCCTTTCAAAAAGGGGTTATCTAGCTGAAATGGCTATTTCGTACTTAAAACCCTCAGAAAGGGTACCTCTGGGAGAGGTCGGGGGTTCGCTTGGAGCGCCGAGAAGTGGATTGCTTAGAGCGCCGGAAAGTGGATCGCTTGGAACGCCGAAAAGTGACATAAGAGATACATAGCGCTAGAGTTGCATATATACACAGAGGCATATAGACACATAAATGGGTGCATTCATATGTCGCTGAAGCACGCAGGTAGTCACACGGGCAGATGCACGCAGATATACATTCCACGCGATCCGCTTTTCGGCGCTGGAAGAGCATCATACAAGAAACATCTTGCACGTTACTTGAAGAAGATATGACAACGTATCAGGAACATCTGGCAAGTTACTTGAAGAAGTTGTTTCAACGTAATTATCAGTAACGTTTTGAAAGTTACTTGAAGGATATGTTACAACGTATCAGGAACGTCTTGCAAGCTACTTGACGAAGATGTTACAACATATCAGGAACGGCTTGCAGGCTACTTGCCATCCAAGGCAAACCTATGTTGAACAGGTGTACAACAAGGATGTCGCGCAGATGGGCAGTGAAAATGAGAGACAGCTAGCGTGAGCACCTTCAACATGCATATCCTTGAGACATCTGTGACAGTATATGATATACATACATATATATATATACTTAGTGTTTTATTTTATTTATTTATTGATTCATTTCTGTATTTCCTATATTTCTTCCCACTGGTGTGCGACTAAAGGTCTCATTCCCTGGTGCTCTCATGTAATCCACCATGCTGGCCCCCTAAACCCACCCCGTGTCCCAGCCCCTGTCCCCAAGTCAAACCCTAAAGGTCCCATTCCACCATGCTGGTCCCCTCAACCCACCCCATGTCCCAGCCCCGTGTCCCCAAGTCAAACCCTAAAGGTCTGTATATCATGTTCTCTAATGTAATCCACCATGCTGGTCCCCTAAACCCACCCCATGTCCCAGCCCCGTGTCCCCAAGTGTTACCCTAAAGGTCTCATTCTCTGGTGCTCTAAGTGATCCACTTTTTTGGTGCTCTAAGTGATCCACTTTCCGGTGCTCTAAGTGATCCCTTAACCTTTTTCAGAGGGGTTGAAGCCACCAACCAGGTATAGTTGAGAACATATGTGTAAGTAACATTTCCCAACATATATGATTATATACACCATAGATGACATGGAACATAATGGCACATAGCTAACGTTTCACTAGGGAACATGGTGTATATAATTATATCATATTATATATATAACTAGTTAATGGGGTCTATCGGCCAACTTCTAACTCGGGGGTCACCACCTCTTAGGTCATCTCAGGCCGGGGTTTTACCAACAAAAAGTCGCAGTTTGAAAACTCTGAACTTAAAGTTCTATCAGTGAAGACATCCCTTTGCTTGGAGAAGACAATGGTGATCACTATAAATAAATATATATATATACAGTATGTATATGTTTTGTTGAACATATGACATATAAGTCATACAAGTATCCCAGGCCGCAAGGCATAGCAAGGAAATGAAAAAAATGTGAACTACAAGGGGTACCCTCTGGTAAACCCATCCCATCCCCTCATACTAGACCAAGGTCCTCGGGCAAATGGTACAACCATCAAGGTAGGTGTTCCATGTCCAATATTTTACCCATTTGCTAATCTAACAAAGCCATTGAACATGATCATGTTTAAACAAATATATATATATATATATATCATTTCGTATATATAAATTATCTAGAACTGTTTTTTTCTTGGATATGTACATTACCGGAAATACACTGATGCAGCCTTAGAGGTGAAAAACGTGGCCTGGCAAGTCAAAAAACGTAAAGAGAACCCGGCTGCTTGGAGAAAAGTGAGGACTACTTTGTAGTATAACTGTACTATAAGTTGCTTTATAAAACTACCATTAACTCCATGCACTGGTATATATCTACCACAAACTATAATTTTATACTACCATTATCATAAACACTTTTATTTTACCATCTAGTAGTCAGTGCCATGTGCTGACAAACTCAACTAGTTCGATGATGTTCCCATTGAAACATATTTTGATGGGGAATTCCCAGCGATCCCGCATTCCCAATAATATCCCTACAAGGTGGTGTCCCCAGCTACTGCATAAGTTGTTTTATTAAAAAAACTACTTCACTTGGCATTTATACATTTTCTTACTGGCAAATCTTCTGGCATTCTATCTGGCATATCTTCTGGCATATGTTCTGGCATATCTTCCGGCATGTCTTCTGGCATTCTATCTGGCAAATCTTCTGGCATTCTATCTGGCAAATCTTCTGGCATTCTATCTTGCATATCTTCTGGCATTCTATCTGGCAAATCTTCTGGCATTCTATCTTGCATATCTTCTGGCATATGTTCTGGCATATCTTCTGGCATTCTATCTGGCAAATCTTCTGGCATTCTATCTGGCATATCTTCTGGCATTCTATCTGACATATCTTCTGGCATTCTATCTGGCATATCTTCTGGCATTCTATCTGGCATTTTATCTGGCATTCTATCTGGCAAACTACCTGGCATATCTTCTGGCATTCTATCTGGCCAATCTTCTGGCATTCTATCTGGCATATCTTCTGGCATTCTATCTGGCATTTTATCTGGCATTCTATCTGGCAAACTACCTGGCATATCTTCTGGCATTCTATCTGGCAAATCTTCTGGCATTCTATCTGGCATACCTTCTGGCATTCTATCTGACATATCTTCTGGCATTCTATCTGGCATATCTTCTGGCATTCTATCTGGCCGTTGAGGTCCGGCAGTGCCCACTGGGATCTGGAGCTCGCGGTTGAGGTCCGGCAGTGCCCACTCAGATCTGGCGCTCGCGGTTGAGGTCCGGCAGTGCCCACTGGGATCTGGAGCTCGCGGTTGAGGTCCGGCAGTGCCCACTGCGATCTGGAAGTCGCGGTTGAGGTCCGGCAGTGCCCACTGGGATCTGCAAGTCGCGGTTGAGGTCCGGCAGTGCCCACTGCAACCTGGAAGTCGCAGTTGAGGTCCGGCAGTGCCCACTGGGATCTTGAGCTCGCGGTGGAGGTCCGGCAGTGCCCACTGGGATCTGGCGCTCGCAGTGGAGGTCCGGCTGTGCCCACTGGGATCTGGACTGCGAGGAGGAGGAGGACGAGGAGGAGGAGGATGCGGAGGCGGAGGAGGGGGAGAACAGCTCTGATAAAATCTAACAACCCTCACCTGGCAGGTGGGGAAAAAATATGAACACCATTAAGTATGATAAATCCCTTATAAACAATTGTTATTGGAGTTACGAAACAACTTGGCTATCGTTTGGGGACACCACCTTGTACGTATAATTCCCTATAAATCACAGTTAACCAGCTATGTCTACCATACCCCATGACGTTCACCTCCTTTTTTTTCAGACTCACCAGCTCCTGCGAGACGCTCGGTCTCGAAATCTCGAATCGTCTCAGGATCTTCCTTTGGATGATGCCATCGACATTCTCAAAAGGCCAGGGCAACGGCGATCGATCACACATATCGGTCCTTTTGGTTTCTTAAAATGGTGGATCCCCCCTCAAAAAAATGAGGTTTCAATGTTAATTCATGATCGTTACCTGTTTGATGCTTCCTGGGGTACACCCAGGACTACGCAACATGGTGATATATTTGGTATCTTTTGGTATATAATGTTTGATAGGTAGGTATTTACACTAAGTGGGACGGCAACTTTTAGCTGATGAACAAATACTTAATGCATACAAGGTGGTGCCCAATACTTGGCTACCTAGGTTTATTTGCTTAGGTAAGTCTATATACCAACATATATCTGGTGGATGCACCACCTTGTCCTTGTTGGCTGTACAGGTGGGTCTAAGAAAATTCTGTGTTATGTAATGAGGAGACAGCCAACATGATGGTTGTTACATGTTGTTACTATTATTGCTGTGTTCATCCATGTTTCATCCTTTGAATTTGGGATGAACATTGCCATTGACGATCATATTTGTTCATTGGCACTGACACTCCAATGAGATCAATCCTTAGGGCCATGACGGTGCAAAGAGGCTTTTTTTCAGACGATTTAAAGGATGTTCATCACCAAAAGCAAAAGATAGAATATGCTTTGACCCATCACCAAGTTTGAAAGATCCAACAAGACGGAAATTGAGGGGTGAGATTATGGTAGACCTATATTTGAGATTAGTTGGCTTCCATTCAGCTTTATTGAAGCCGTGCACACAAGAAGGCAAAGATAACTAGGCTAAATGGAATTTATGATAGAAAACATTTGAACATACATACTAGTTTCTTCTTTGGTGGGCATAAACCAATTTACAACTGAGGAGGCCTACAAACCAATAAACATACACCGCGGGTTGTTGGAAAAAACAAAATATGGAAATCACAGTTTGTTTCTGCTTTTTATCCACATGTCCATTGGTTTTTCATCCGAGATATGTTGGCAAAATCATGTAAGACCACAATCTGGGCAAATTAAAGGACCGGATAACCCCACAAGTCAACTTCTTCCAACAAGCAACAAAAGAAAGGCAAAGACGGCATGGGGTAAGCAAGAAAGAGAAAAGAGATGGTGAAGGATTGGTGTGGAGTAAGTTATGTGTGGACGAGTATGTGTGAGTAAGTTGTGTATGGATGAGTTGTGTTTGTGTGTGAGGTGTGTGTGTGTGTGTGCGAGTATGTGTGTGTGGTGTGCGGCCACGATCAAAGATGCCCCACGCCAGGAAGTGCGGCGAAGGGCAATCGATGCGTGACCATTGATTATGTGTCCGCAAACGTACAGCGCAGACCATCACGAAAACGGATGGCCCACGACTGGCGTTTGGATGATGTGTGGGTGTGTGTGTGTGTGCGTGGGCGTGTATGTGTGCGTGCGTGCGTGCGTGTGTGTGTGTGTTTGTCTGTCTGTGTGTGTTTGTCTGTGTGTGTGTGTGTTTGTCTGTGTGTGTGTGTGTGGGTGTTTGTCTGTGTGTGTGTATGTGTGTGTGTACGTGTGTGTATGTGTGTGTCTGTGTGTGTGTGTGAGTGCGGGTGTCGGCGTGGACCATGTACGCGATGAGGTCAGTACCTGGCAGGTAGTATCAGAAGATGCGATCACGCTGAAATTGCAACAAAACAGCTGTCCATGGGCAGTGCAGAATTTAGCCTACAACGCTCCTGTTCCTCTTGGCTTGTCAACTACTGCCCCACGACACCGGTGCAGACAAGCGCATGAGCAACAAACACAGCTGCACCTTTCGAAGTTTTGCCGCTATGATTCATCGGATAACGCATTTGCTTCTCGCATCAACTATCGCACAGTGCTTCAATGTGGCCACAGGAGCTGTGGAAACTACCTTGCCTCAATCCATCGGATGACACACTTCCTTCTCGAACAACTGTCGCAGTGTTATAAACTCTCTTCAAGAGGAGAGGCATCATCTTTGCACGGTGCATCAATGTGCCCACACAAGCTGTTAACACATACTTCACTATCGCAGGCATCATCTTCGCACATTGCATCAATGCGCCCACGACAGCTGTTGACAGTGTACCATCCCATGACATGAAGCTCTCGCGACATCTGCCTACATGGCATCATAAGGCAGTAGAGCAAAATACAAATAATGGTAGCTACCTCGCCTCAATTCATCGGATGACATACTTCCTTCTCGTAACAACTGTCGCACTCTGATAAATTTTCTTCAGCAGGCATCATCTTCGCACAGCGCATCAATGTGCCGACACAAGCTGTTAGTATAAACTTCGCTATCGCAGGCATCATCTTCGCACATTGCATCAATGCGCCCACGACAGCTGTTGACAGTGACATACAAATAGCTGCAACTGTTTGCACAGAACCTGTTCTGAGCTGGGACGAACGCCATCTTTTCTTTCGATCACATTTGCATCGTGTTCAGGAGCATATAGTGTTTGTCCTTGCGCAACTGCTGCATGCTTTTTGCAAATGCCATGCCACCGTTCTTCAAGAAATTGTACGATGCGTTCCGCTGATCAGTCAAACGAGAAATCGTACAGATCTCCACGATTTCGCGCTGAACTGATCAACGTAATGCTTCGTACAACTTTTTGAAAATGGTGGCATGGCATTTGCCAAAAGCATTCAGCAGTTATGGAAGGAGGACTTAGCATCAAATGTATCTTCGCACGGCGCGTCAATCGATAAAGAGCATATAGTCTGGCAGACTGCATGCATGCTTTCCAGTGCTCCGACAGCTGTTATACCGCAAGAGTCTGCATCCGGTCTGCAGTGACACCGCAAACCGTTATCCACGTGCCTCGATTGCATCAAACCTTGACGCAGAGCAAACACAGGAAACCCAGGGTCTCTGCCTGGACCGTCCAGCCACAGACGCTGGGAACTGACTCGCAAGGTCGAACTGATGCTGTATCTGTAACTGTTCCTGAAGATTCGGTGGCAGAATTGATTCTGCACTGCTCACGCACGTCAGCTCTCACCCGCGCGACCCGGCCCAACCCGCTCGCGGACCCAGGGCTGCGCCGGGCAGACCGTCGAGGCTGAAAAAAAAAGCGGTTGCATGTTGAGTGGTTCAGCATGCTGTCTGTTGGGTAATAGCGTTGCGTCGTAGTCTTGACCTGGTCGGTCTTTTTCCAGGCTGCCCGCTCGGGCAGCCTGGCCCACCCTCCCTACCTCCCCACATGGGGCCTGCCAGCAACTCTGCCGCAACACTTACAGCAGAAGCACCGCCAGGCCACATCAGAGGAACCGCATCATCACAGAAACCGCCCGTCAAAGAAAAGTTCGAGACAAAAAATCTTTCTGCGATGCAAAGTCACAAATTTTAAGAACCAAAAGAACTGACGGTCACATTACTGCAATGTCACTGAGCATGGTTCTTTGCAAACCATTGCGCCAAACCAATGTCAAAGCATGCACCAACAAAACCGCGCCTGCCCTACGGTCACAGGCGCGATGACGATACCGGAACAGAAAAGTACCTGGCTGCAAAAAGATAGCGATGTTCTGGAGCTGGTGGTCAAAACGACAATAACAATGTCGTGCCACACACGCTTCTCTCGCCGAAGCGGAAAAGTACCTGGCCGCAAAAGGACAGAACGCGTATAGGTTGCTGGTTGTCAAAGCAACGCGTGCAACATAAAATTCAGTTTTCGACACGAGCATAGACACCTTGTTGCATTACGGCAAGGTCAAGAACAGCACCTGGCCGGAAGTGTGTGTGTGTATGTGGAATGCAACCAGCATCTGTCATGTCTGCGCCGCACAGCGTTGCTTCAGCGCAGTTGAGCCCTGCCTCTCGACCACGGGCAAAAGCAGCACCTGGCCGGAAGTGTGTGTGCGTGTGGAATGTAACAGGCCGACAGAAGAAAGATATTAAACATGCCAAAATCAAACATGCCGAAACACGCGGAACGAAGAAACATGCCGGAAGGACCACATCTTTGCATGCAAACGACGAAACTTAATCATGCCAAAATGAAACATGCCGACGCACGTAGAAGGCCGACAGAAGATGATAGTACTTCAACATGCCAAAATCAAACATGTCGACGCCCACGGAAAGAAGAAACATGCCGGAAGGATCGCATCTTTGCATGCAAATGACCAAACTTAAACATGCCGAAGCATGGGAACGAAGAAACATGCCGGAAGGACCGCATCTTTGCATGCAAATGACCAAACTTAAACATGCCTAAAATCAAACATGCCATGCGTGCTAGAGCTGTTGTCTGCAAAGTCTCGTTGGGCCAAAGCAACCAAAACAGAACGACATGATGAAAGTTTGCATGCAAGAAACAGCATCTGTCATGTCTGTCTGCGCTGCACAGCGTTGCTGCAGCGCAGTTCAGGCCTGCCTCTCGACCACAGCAAACATGCCGAGGCACGAGGAAAGAAGACACATGCCGGAAGGACCGCATCCCGGCCCAAAGGCGCCACCCAGTACTATAAGTGGCACGCCTACCACGCAAAACGAAGGTAGATGTCAGTTTGTGCCACGCCTGCCACGCAAAACGACGGCAGATGTCAGTTTGTGCCACGCCTGCCACGTGAAACCAAGGTGGATGTAAGGTTGTGCCACGCCTGCCACGCAAAGTGGCGCGGCGCCCCAGGCGCCAAATCCCGGCCCAAGGGCGCCACCCAGTACCATCTGTCCCACGCCTGCCACGCAAAACGATGGCAGATGTCAGTTTGTGCCACGCCTGCCACGTGAAACCAAGGTGGATGTGAGGTTGTGCCACGCCTGCCACGCAAAGTGGCGCGGCGCCCCAGGCGCCAAATCCCGGCCCAAAGGCGCCACCCAGTACCATCTGTCCCACGCCTGCCACGCAAAACGACGGCAGATGTCAGTTTGTGCCACGCCTGCCACGTGAAACGAAGGTGGATGTGAGGTTGTGCCACGCCTGCCACGCAAAGCGGCGCGGCGCCCCAGGCGCCAAATCCCGGCCCAAGGGCGCCACCCAGTACCATCTGTCCCACGCCTGCCACGCAAAACGACGGCAGATGTCAGTTTGTGCCCCGCCTGCCACGTGAAACGAAGGTGGATGTGAGGTTGTGCCACGCCTGCCACGCAAAGTGGCGCGGCGCCCCAGGCGCCAAATCCCGGCCCAAGGGCGCCACCCAGTACCATAAGTGCCACGCCTGCCACGCAAAACGACGGTGGATGTGACTTTGTGCCACGCCTGCCACGCAAAACGACGGTGGATGTGAGTTTGTGCCACGCCTGCCACGCAAAGTGCCGTGGCGTCACAGGCGCCAAATCCCGGCCCAAGGGCGCCACCCAGTACCATCTGTCCCACGCCTGCCACGCAAAACGACGGCAGATGTCAGTTTGTGCCACGCCTGCCACGTGAAACGAAGGTGGATGTCAGGTTGTGCCACGCCTGCCACGTGAAACGAAGGTGGATGTGAGGTTGTGCCACGCCTGCCACGCAAAGTGGCGCGGCGCCCCAGGCGCCAAATCCCGGCCCAAGGGCGCCACCCAGTACCATCTGTCCCACGCCTGCCACGCAAAACGACGGGAGATGTCAGTTTGTGCCACGCCTGCCACGTGAAACGAAGGTGGATGTGAGGTTGTGCCACGCCTGCCACGCAAAGTGCCGCGGCGTCACAGGCGCCAAATCCCGGCCCAAGGGCGCCACCCAGTACCATCTGTCCCACGCCTGCCACGCAAAACGACGGCAGATGTCAGTTTGTGCCACGCCTGCCACGTGAAACGAAGGTGGATGTGAGGTTGTGCCACGCCTGCCACGCAAAGTGGCGCGGCGCCCCAGGCGCCAAATCCCGGCCCAAGGGCGCCACCCAGTACCATCTGTCGCACGCCTGCCACGCAAAACGATGGCAGATGTCAGTTTGTGCCACGCCTGCCACGTGAAACGAAGGTGGATGTGAGGTTGTGCCACGCCTGCCACGCAAAGTGGCAGGCGCCAAATCCCGGCCCAAAGGCGCCACCCAGTACCATCTGTCCCACGCCTGCCACGCAAAACGACGGCAGATGTCAGTTTGTGCCACGCCTGCCACGTGAAACGAAGATGGATGTGAGGTTGTGCCACGCCTGCCACGCAAAGTGGCGCGGCGCCCCAGGCGCCAAATCCCGGCCCAAGGGCGCCACCCAGTACCATCTGTCCCACGCCTGCCACGCAAAACGATGGCAGATGTCAGTTTGTGCCACGCCTGCCACGTGAAACGAAGGTGGATGTCAGGTTGTGCCACGTGTGTGTGTGTGTGTGGAGGGTTTGTGTGCATGTGTGAAGTTATGTGTGTGTGTGTGTCAAGTTGTGTTAAGTTTGTGTGTGTGTGTGAAGTTATGTGTGTGTGTTATGTATGTTATGTTAAGTTTGTGTGTGTGAAGTTATTGTCTGTGAAGTTTGTGTATGTGAAGTTTGTGTGTAGTGTGTGTGGAGGAGGGCGGGAGGAGGAGGAGGAGAAGGAGGAGCCCGGGATACAGAATCAAAAACAAGAACCCCACACAAAGATGTGGGGAATTATAACGACCTCACTGTTCTCCCGAAGCCTGGAATCATGGTTAAGATTCGGGAAATCATCCCAAGTGGCTCAACATTTCAGGTTAGTGAAATATTACAATTTGCCCAGCACAAGCTTTCCTTGGTCAATCACCATATTTGTTGCTTTAATCGGTTTCACCCCAGGCAAAACTGGACCAAGCTTACCACTGGGGTGAGCCACCAAGTAGAATAAGAGGTAAATCCTAACATGAAGTGTTGGGTTATATATACAATGTCTTCAATGACTTCTCAGTTCACCATTTGTTGTTGGTTTCGCTGTAATTATGTTGCTATAAATTTCCATTAAGCTCTTTTGTTTAATCCACCATTTTGGCCAGATTTTTCCGGCATTTTCCTACATTTTCCCATATGTTCCATATGTTTCCTACATTTCTTGAGTTCATCACCCTCCACGTCACCACAGCCACCACGGCTAGTCACAGGCGGCAAGCGCATCACCAGTCGGCGCCCGTTTTGCCGCCGGCCACGCCGCTGAAGCATGCCGTGCTGGCAGAGAAGGACGGAGACGAAAAACGGAGGAAACCAACAACCAATAGTATAGTACAATGTACAATAATAAGAGTTAGAATGGAACAGTACTGGAATATAACTATAGTTCAGGTAAGTATTCCAGTATTACCCCGTAAAAATGATCCGGTTAAAGCGAAGTTATAGCCAATGGGTGGCTTAAACTGGATATACCCTCTGGTAAACTAACAGTTTGCTATTCAAAATGGCCCATTTAGTTCGTTGATTTTCCTGTTAAACATTGTGATTTTCCATAGTTATCTTAGTTTCCCAGAGGGTAACCAGCAACATACAGAGGTTTCCTAAAATAGGGGATCCCCAAGTCACCATGGGTGTCAGTACTAATGGATGATTTGGGGGTACCCCCATTTTAGGAAACCTCCATATGGCGATATAATTGGGATATTGTTAACTTCAGAATTCAAGGAAATCAGCTAATTATACAGAAATCAGGTTTAGGGTATTCGTCAACCAACGGTGCATGGAAGAAGTCCGGCACCAGTTGGGAACTATTAGGTAACTATGAAACACTGTTACATGGTGTTATAGTGACATAAACCATCTACCAACTGCTGCAGGATTTCATCCATCCACAGCACAGTACCATTGGGTTATAAGTTATAGCAGCAAAATATGAAAAACATAATTGGGGTATGTTGAAAATCTAGCAAGAAAAATTGGGATTTGCCATGAAAAACAGGGCTTGAACTAACAAACATGCTGGTCAAACCATCCTGGTAGCGAGTGACGAGCTGCAAAATGCTGGGAGACAAGCATCACGCTTCATTTGGCAATCAACAAATGCATTCACTCTCGCTCTCTGGACATCATTACAGACATTACCTGGCTGGTGGTTTGGAACATGGCTTTTATTTTTCCATATATTGGGAATGTCATCATCCCAACTGACGAACTCCATCATTTTTGAGCGGAGTTGGCTCAACCACCAACCAGTTACAGAGTATTAGCCATCATTAACCATATAATAACCATATATTAACCATTATTAAGCGTATATTAACCACATAGTATTATGATGGTATTATGGATACCTATATTATATAGATTGTTAATAATGGATATATTATCCCATGATAGTATTCATGGATACCTATATTATTTAGATTATATAGCGAATTATGATCATGATAATTTAGCAAGATTGCCCTAAAAACTCGGATCATCCCACGACTTGCTTAACTGCGCAACGTGCCATTGGCCGAAAATTGATGCATTTTAAACAACGGGAGGGCGCCGCCCAGCTGGCAGCCCCACGGCAATGAACTGGTATGATGTGATATGACTGGTGATTCACCTTCTTAGAATATCATGGCTTATCTTTAGTGTTGAATGTTGGATGGTTAAATCTAATCTTTGTTGGTTAGACATCGTTTTTTGTTAAACCCAACTGTTCCTACTGAAAGAAATCCTCTTGGTCATTTTTTTCCCTTTAAAGCCCTGCCATTTATACTGGTTATGCCTTCATTTATCACCATATTGTACGCAATTTTGGTTTGTTCTTTGCAGATGCAGTTGGAGTTCTTACTGGTTGTAACCATGGTAATACCTCCCACATGCTGGGGCAGAAACACCACAAATGGTTATGTAACCGCTCATTAGCGGAACTGCACGCCCAAGCACCCCAACGTACGTATCGGTTGTTAGCCACTTACCAATTGGTTAGAATATATATATATATATCAATCTATACGTATATTGAATTCCTATCATATCAATCAGAATCATATCATTTCACACTATTTGTTGCTTAAGACCCGCTTTCGCTTGGTTGTCAGTGTTTCTATTGGTTGATCAATAGATTATCATTTTGAAAATGATTTACCGAACCAGCCCCGCATCATTTTTCCTCAAGAGACACTTCTTGCTTTTCATGCTCCAAATGTATCCAAATGTCTTATATGTATTTATATTTCTCAACCATCTAAATTAGTCATGCTTTATCTCCCAGTTTTCGTGACAAACCCACCCTCTTGGTTTAAGTCCCCATTTTCGTCCAGGACAGCACCAGCCACTTCAGCAGCACGATGAGCTCCACTTCTTGGGGACGAGTCACGTCGAAGGAGTCGATTTCGCACAGGCGCTGTTCGGATGGCGACAATGAATGAATGGGAACATAGCTTTTAACATGATAAATGAATGGTTGTTGATAATGGCAAATGGTTTATTAATGTGTCTTTTTGTGATCCTGGCAAATGAATGGATTTTGATAATGGCAAGTGGTCTACAAATCTTAATTTTATATATATATATATATAGATATATATATATATATACATACAATGGTGTATTATGGGAAATACCTGGTGGCTCACCCCACGGATCGTAAGTAGGTTAGTTCACCCTAGTTATTTCGGAGGGATTTTTGTAGGGTTAATCCACCTATAACATCCTAGAACTAGGGTGAACTAACCTACTTACAGAGTGAGGTGAGCCACCAAGTAGTAAATCAAAGGTTTTTGATAATGGCAAATGATTTATGGTGTATCATTGGAAATGCATAACATGTGACTTCATGAAAAGAAAACAATCGTCAATCCCCCTAGATCCCCCTAGCCCTGATTTTGAAATCGCGGGAACTCATTTTGCAATTGCTTTTTGGATTTTTTTTGGTAGGTTGGTCCAACCTCTGGTTGATTTTACTGATTTTTAGCTACCTCCTATTTTCCTTTCCTCTTGTCTCCTCTCTCCTCTCCACTCCTCTGAGCCTCTCCTCCCCAAACCTCCAAACATCAGAAAAAATGGACGGGCAGCGCGGCAGATAAAAACCACTGGTTTTAAACAAGGCAGTCAGTTGTGCTGTTTGGGGTCCGGTTTGGAGGGGAGAAGTAGCCAGGACTCACCATACTCTAGAAGTGCTAGGCTTCAGGCACAGGCTTGGCTGATTAAGGTGAAATCCTGCCACCCCTCTCCCCCTTAGGTCCAGGGGAATAATTGTCAATATGATATGGTACCATTACCAAAGAAAACACATATTTCGTAACGATGAATGAATAGGACATAGTTTCTTTAATGGTAATGCTGATAGGATAATAATGGTTAACTATTGGATGATACTGGGACATATATATATATATATCTAATGGATACTAATGGATGCTTATAGAGATTTACCTTCCGGTAATAAAAAATGGCTTGCTGGACAATCCCTCATTTAGTTCGATGATTTTCCCATTGAAACCTCCACTTGTAAAGGAATTCCAACTGCTATGTTTGGTTACAGGAGGGTAAATGGTCTTTATAATGGTGAGGAATCGCGAACTGGTTGTAAATTATGTTTGTACGGATTTATGGCACACATTTTTTGTGTGTGATGTACTGGTTGGTGGTTTGGAACATTTTTTATTTTCCATAATATGTGGGATAATCTTTCCCATTGACTTTCATATTTTTCAAGATGGTCAAAACCACCAACCAGTGTAATGTAAAATGACCAACTACATCGATTTTGGGTTGGATGAATTGTGGGTATGACCCGAATGTTCCAGAACCAAGGGTTTCTGGCTGGCAACATGTAGCCAGCTGTCCCTAGTGCTATGGTTGTGTCTGACGTCTTAACTACTTAGGCAGTTGGTTAAAATCCCCAACACCTAGAGGGATGGCTCAAGTATTGCAAGTGACATGATCGTTTGCACCCAGAAATTTCGACCTGGGTGGGGTAGCATCATGAATTGTCATTCCTGTCAGATAGGTAGTCAGCCTCAAATCATCTTGGGTACAATCACCCAGGTAGCCGCTACCTATTTTTATGGCAACTATAGAAGGTCTTTAAAAAAACACAAACATGTTTCATATAGCAACTAAATTACAACTAACGCTTTTTTTCTAACTCTCACAAAACAACTATTTCTTTTTTGAGTCGCCCTGCCGTGCTTTGCTTCATGCCAGGATGCCGAGTCGGCAACGAGCTATCAAGGCGTGGTGGTTAAGGGGAAATTTACAGGAAAACAGGAAATTCCTAGGGTTGTTTCCGGCATGCGGCTGATACGGCGCCCTTGGAAGGGTTGCCAATCTTGAGATGTGCCATTTACGATCCCTTGGAAAGGTTGCAAATTTCAAAAATGAGGCTTGCGGAAATGGTGGTATAGGATTTGATTTTCTTGAGTTTTTAACATGTTGCACATGCTGTCGTATGATCATCAGGGGGGGTGGGGGTGGGGGGTGGGGGGGGTGTATTAACGTTCTTGACGAGCACTTCCTTTACGTTACGGAAGATGCACACGTTGCGAATGCTGTCGTATGATCATCAGGGGGGTGGGGGGTGGTGGGGTGTATTAACGTCCCTGACAAACACTTCCTTTACGTTACGGAAGATGCAAACGTTGCACATGCTGTCAGTTGTGTCAAAGATTATCCCCACAAAAAGGTTCAAGTCGGCCCAAGTCAACCACAAGCAAAATATCTTTACTAGGACTAAGACTAAGACTTATCATTTTCGAGGTCGTTTGTGGGATAAATCCTATAGAGCCTTGAAAAAATGGCGACCTCCGTCGATGCTCCACAAAAAAAACAAAACGTGTACAAAAAAAGGTACACTTGGGCCTACTGCTGGACATGGCGTCACAACGCTGCCTTGTTGCAGACTGTGGCTTCTGCATTGCCACAAGCGCTCTGGCACCGCTAGCGTCGAGAAGAGGAAAAAACTGGAAGAGTGAATGTCGCCCTGATATGATTCGGATGATTGAAAATCATAAATTTCTAATGTTTTTTTCTTGACCCTTGAAGAGCAAAATCGAGTCACCTCGCAGGCGAAACGCACATTTTCACTCTTGAGTCACATGCCTGCCAATCGAAATGAATGTCCATGTTGCAAACATTTTTTGACGACTCCTGCAAATACCAGCATTTTGTCTCTTAGCCTCAAAAATCAGAATTTCAAATTCGTCACCCTTACAAGGGCACCGAGTCAACCGGTTGCCTTGTTTAAGGTGACTTGTTGTTTTTCTACAGGATGGGGCCCCATAGTTAGCTAAGTTGGTTTTGAACAATAATAACAATAGTATTTGGATGGGGTTATAAACTATCTTATAGCTGAGGGGCACCATCCTGTATATTTGGAAACACACCAGAGCTGGGGAATTGATTTAAGGGAATAATATCTATGAATCATGAATATACTTTGACTATCTTGTGGAACTGGAGGAAACACATTTTTTTGATTTTCCCTAGGGAAACCAATGATAACAGATATACATGTACAGAAGTAATGAAACATGTTTTCATATGTTTTAATATTCATTCAAAAACCAACTCAATTTTCTGGTGTTAAATTGCTATAAAATAATTTAAGGGATGTAAACGCGTGCGGGCATTTTGTTTACAATTGCTAGAGTATTGTTGGATACGTGAAAACTCTCGTACCGTAGGGATCGAGGGAATTTTTTGGGGGGGATCGGCGGGGGAGTGCCTTGGAGCAATCTCTGCCCGAACTGCCCAAAGCGCTTCCACGTCCAAAGAGGTTCTTATCTGTCTCTGCCTGTGCTTGTGCGGCGAGTGCGCAGGAGAAAGACAAATGTTTGAAAGAGCAGTGGCTGGAGGAAAAAGGCCTCACCTACATCACAAAAAACTATCGACTATGCCCCATGGACGGTGTTGAGGCAGAGACCCAGGAGACTGTTGCGGAGTCTTGAGCGAAGAGGTCGATCCAGCCCCCCAGCTCCGACTGGCCCCGATCCTGATCGATGCCTTACTACGGGATTTTCAGGGCCTACAGGACTCGGAGATTTCCGAGGAATCCGACGATGATATGGGGATGAGGTCGCCTACCACGAACTCATCGGCGTGGCGCGTCTGACACCCCAAAATAACTAGACAGGGTAGACGAGTTAAGGACTTTTCCTTTTGTTTTTTTTCTTTTGGTTTTGGTCATTTTTGGCTCACCATATTTGTTTGGACAAACCCGTTTTTCCACCACACTCACATATAAATTCAAATCATAATCAGCACCCAACAATTTATAACTTTTATATCATGAAGGCAAAGGTGCCGATTGAACATTCCAACCGTGAATGAAAACGAGTCATCTTCACAGGCTGATTCCAGGCTCTTGACCACAAAAATGAGTTGGAAACCATGTTTTTCTTCTGTTGCTGATCTAGTTGATCTGGTTGACCTGGTTTTGATCTGGTTAATCTGGTTGATCTGGTTGGTGATTTCATGGCCTATCTCAAGAGGATGATCTTGGCTCAGCTGATGACAGCCATGGTTTTCAGTGACCACATGAATTCCAGTATTATACAGGGTGCCCCAGGTCGATAGCTCAGTTGGTGGGTTTAGAATTATCTAAGTTCAATATAGGTGTAACTGCGTTTTGAAAGAATCGAAACAAGTCAGGTACGTACGATGCTTGGTGCGACGGTGCGATGGTGCGGTGCAATGGTGCAATGGTACGGTGCGATGGTACGGTGCGATGGTGCGATGGTACGGTGCGATGGTGCGATGGTACGGTGCGATGGTGCGATGGTACGGTGCGATGGTGTGATGGTATGGTACGATGGTGCGATGGTACGGTACGATGGTATGCGATTGTTTGCGATGGTACGCAACTGCATGCACCATGAGGTTGAGGTGGTGTGATGGTGTGGCTGCACTGGTCGATGGTGCCTGTCATGTTTTGCGATAGTATACTGATGAACCATGGGATGTTATACTGGTGTGGCACCATGGTAAGTTGTAATACAGGTTCATGTGTGCAAAGTCACAACCATCTACCTGTAATAGTTATATTTTTCATAATTTTTCTAAGTTGCACAACGTCCAAAACCAAGTAAGAGAATGGTTAAACGAAAAGGTCCAAAAATCAGATTTTATAAATTCCTTATTATTTGTTTCGGTATGTTTCGGAGTCACACGCGTGAAACCAGTATAGCTTGATTTTTCTGAGAAACATTTAAACTCTCAAGTTTGCAGAGTTGATGTTCATTTGATGTCCATGATTTTTTTGGCATCGGCAAAAGCAGACATGCAAATGTATTCCAAGCAAACTTAACTGTAACTTTGGTGGATTTGTTTGGTATTGGATGGACAGCAAAAAAAATGAACACCTCATAGGCTTTGACAACAGGAGCACGATTTCGCAGACAAGGAGTCCAGTGTGCTTTATTGTATTATAGATGTATTATATATATATATACTGTATATGAGGGTTGCTTTCGTGTCAATATTGTTACCCTGAAGCACATGACCTATGCACGTTCCTCCTTGTTTCTTTCTGGTTGCAAGGTTTTGGCAAACATTGGGTTCAACAATTTGAAATCAAGTAAGAAAACTATAGAAAACTATATAATACAATTTGCTCCAAAGAAACCAAAATCTCTCGGGGCATTTTTGTTTCAGGGCAGGTTTTTTAAATCGCGGCCAAACCTTTTCCTTGAGATGCTCTTCCCAGTGTTCCAAGGGGATATCAGCAGTGAAGTTGGCCTTCCTATGGGGGCAACTTGTGAGATTATTGGTGTGTTTCAAAAGGAGTCCAACTGTTTTGAAACGAAGAAGAAAGCTCTGACCAACAGTACCCCAAACCACAAAACAATGCAAACAAACATACCCTTACACAAAACCATGCAGTTGAAGGCAATGGGCACCACAAGAGAAAACCGATTCGGGGCAGAGGGTTGACGGTGCGATCCAATCTTAGTATTGCATCAGCAGTGATATATAGTTTAGCCAAGGGTCGATTAATAGTATGGTGGACATGTTGTGCGAAGAACATCCCACTTTCATGTCAAAGACTTCAATGACACATTAGGACATACTTTTCACTATACCGGCGCGCAAGTCTAAGCGTCAAACAAGAGTGAGGCAGGCTGAAATATACCATTGCAGGGGTGAAACCATGGGTTACTGTACCAACCATCAACCATTGAATATGTTTGTTCTGCTTCCGGCCTGGTTTCTTGATGACCCCAGCTCTGGCCGTTGGCTGCACATGACACATGAAAACACAAGCAGGCAAGCAGAATCTCCTACACTCAGCCATTCGCAAATTACCCGTACCACGGCATCGCGCCGCAACACTACATATCCATACATATCGTACTACGCCATTGTACCATTGTACTGTCTAACGTACCATCGTACCGTACCATCGTACTGTACCATCGTACTGTACCCACTTTCACTTGTACGTACTTGTAGGGTGTTGGCCGTACCAATTCATTTTAAGTATTGGGTACGGTCAACATCCTACAAGTGGGTACAAGTGAAACCAGGTACGGTACGGTGGTACGGTGGTACGGTGGTACGGTGGTACGGTGGTACGGTGACACGTTACGATTCTGACTGTTGCCCAGGCGCCAGCCGTGGAGCAAACCTCCTGAAGGGGAAACAACATCAAATTGTGGATATGTGACCTTTGACCAACATTTATCACCATCAACATCACCACAATCATCACCATCATCATTCATCATCACATTTTCTTGTGTAATATCATCTCCTCCCTCCTGCTTTCTTTCGGGCCACACCGGCCACACTGTTGTCTACTTTGCTTAGATTGCCAAAAACGATGAATTCTGCGTGGACTAAGTGAGCAACACACCCACAGAGCACAATATGAGCAGTTCATCGAGACAAACAAAAAGTAACCATGGCGGAATGAACTTTTTTTTATGCAGAGACAGAGAATTTCGTGGTAATACTTGCCAAAAAAAACAATGTTTCCGTACCAACTTCATGTACCTTGCAAGGTTTCATCAAGATTGACTTTGCAAACTAATTTAGTGTACCGTGCAAGCTAAGCCAATTTGATTTGCAATTGACACAATCTGATTTTTTTGCTAGCATTGCAGGCTGAACTAATTTCTCTAACAAATATTGATTTTATTATAGTTTGCTTGAATGCTGGCCATTACAAAATACAGATGAACATGAACTGCTTGACTTCACCCCTCAGCTTTGTTCAATGTAGCCTTTCCGCTG